CACACAAAACCTGTTTTCTGACAAATCCGTTCATCTTAAAGGGGTCATATGATGTTGCTAAGAACATTATTTGGTGTATTTGGTGTAATGAAATTTATGCGGTTTAAGGTTCAAAAAACACATTATTTTCCACATACTGCGCAGCGCTGACCTCAGAGGTCATCCGCTCGGAACTGCTTCCGTTTACAACAGTGAGCGCAAGCTACATTATAGTGATTATTACGTTTTGATTATGAATATTTTTCTTACAAAAACGCATCGATTCACTACAGAAGCCGTTTGTTCACCCCCCGTAGCCGTGTGAGACACTTTTTTTTAATGGATGGGCGCTTTTAATTTAACTTGTTTTGGACTGAAGCATGCAACACCCACTGAGTGCCATGAAACAGATTGAAAGATCAAAGACCATTTTTAATATAACTCCGACTGGATTCGTCTGAGAGAAGAAAGTCATATACACCTAGGATGACTTGAGGGTGAGTAATTTATGGGCTAATTTTCATTTTGGGGTGAACTAACCCTTTAACCACTGATTTCAAGTCGTGTCCTCTTTTGGAAGGCCAAACAAAGTAGTTTCGTTATCACAACGAAACACACAGCATCACACACGGCGGAATTGAATGAGCGGCGGCGGGCTAGAGTGAGGAACGGCCGGCAGATTCGACAAAGGAGCGGCCAGCGGGCTTGCGGCAACGACATGTGACAACCCCGGGCTGGACTCCGCTTCGTCCATGGTGAAAGCCGATCCGGCGATCCACAGCACGAAGTTGATGTATTCCCTCAGCAACCAGCACGGATCAGCTCTAGGCATGACGGATATCGTCCTCTTTTGGAAGGCCAAACAAAGTAGTTTCGCTTTCACAACGAAACACACAGCGCCTTCACGACATGGCGGCGGCGGCAACAACAATACTACAGCGAGAATAAAAGTTACACCTTCTTTCTTTGCGTGAACATTTGGGAGGTGTTCTGCAAATCTTCCCACATCGTGACGTAGACATGTGGGGGCGTGTTAGAATGAGCCGTTTTAGGTAGGCGTGGTTGATTCTTAACTTTTATCAAATATATCTCTTTGGATTTGAGACTTTAGTCTTTGCAACTTTACAGATCTTCTTTATGCACCAAGAGCTTGTAACACACAAGAGAAAGGAAAAATCACAGAATAACATGAATAACAGCAGTAGACATCCAGAAATCTCTACAAAGCTGTGGAAGTCTTTGTTCATGTGTCTACTGTCAGAAAAACACTGAACAAGAATAGTGTTTGTGAAAGAATAAACAGCATTTGTGACTAGATCAGACTACATTTTATGAGTAATCAATGCAGAAAGATGTTTTTACTGGGTGTAAATTAAAGTGAATATTTTAGGTGCTATGACATTTTTTTACCATTCTGATAAACTTTTTGCCTTTAAGATGGTACATTTATTGTTGTTGTGACAAGCTTAAAACAGTTTCTAAATGTGTCAATAAACTGTCCAAATGTGTATTGATGTTGCTTTAAAGTATTTAATTGGTCATGATGATGATGGAATACTTGTATAGTAATATACATTTAAAAAAACAAACCTAGGGAAACTTTAGGTGCAGTAACATTTTTAAAACCAAATTTTTACCTTTAAAATAGTTGCTTTTTTAATTATTCCAAGTGCAAATAAATTATTAAAGCTGCATGCATAATGTTTAAAGAATTAGAAAAATACAGTTGAAAGGTTTTTAGGTGGGGTACTCTATATCATAATACAGAATGTGTCAACTTCCCAAAATGTCAACTATTTATGTATGTGGGTATATAAGTGTCTACGTATATGGTTGCATGTATAATGTGTGTGTTGAGTGTGATCAGTGGAAAGTGAATGAATAAATAATAGGGGAGGTACACGGAGGCAGCTGCTCTCTGTTGGCTTCTAAAGTGGCGCAGGGTGAGGTGAGACAGGCAGCTGTGAAGAGTGCCATTTACTCACAACCAGGAGTCTGTTTGCCGGAACAAACCAGTCACCACAGCTACTTAAACTGACTACATGCTGCGACCATAATTAGCCATATCTGTATCCTCAATTGCTCAGTAAGAGGTTTAGGAAGTTGCCATACAATTCAAACAATCAACTTCACGCTGACTGATTTGACTCATCTGAGATGAAAAGAATCACACAAACTCAAATGTAAAAGGAGAAAGTTGAATGAGAATATCCAGCTGTTTTTTCCACCTAAAATTACATCTATAAATAAACAACAAATCTATATTGGTGTTTTCAGGGTCGCAACAGAACCTTGTAAAGGTATAAAGTGTAAATACTAAAACTTAACCAATTAAAGCGCTTAACAAACACTCTTTCTGTAACTGCAGGTGTAAATATCACATTTGTGGTGAGAATAAAATGCAAGCAATTTGGGTTCAACAGTAGTGACTTGTAGGAGACCCTCTCATTGATAAAATTCACAAGTGGGGCCAGGAGAACCATTTCAATGCATGGCAATATCAGGTGTAAATGGCAACCTGTCTTGGCTATCCACTCTGGATGCAAGATGGATGTTATATGATAGGACATATTTCAATGACAGGACGTCAGCATGTATTCGTCTAGTCTATGAAGGTTTTCAGTCATTCATGCCATAGCATGTCGGGTCAAATTAACACAAGAGCACTGAGGCTGGTTATTCTCCACAATGCTGCATTAAGAAACATAGATTACTCCATCCTCACCGGAAGTGATTAAATCTTAGTATGTCAATGTGCAGCTGACGCATGATGTTGATGCACATTAGCTAAAGAGTGGACATACTGCTCATTTTCACAGTTTCCTGTGTCGTATCCTACTCCCAGGGAAGATACATTTTAGACAGAATGAGCTGAAGTATAGTTTCCCTTACATTAGAAAGTGTGAACGAGAAAGGGAGAGAGAGATTTGCAAGAAAGGATGTGTGTTCATTGACATTCACTGCACAGGCCGAAGGAAATGAAGGGGTGTTTGGTTTGCTGAGTGCAAAACTAATCTAATTAACCTTGTTGCATTCCTTTGTCCCACATTGTAACCTGTGCTGCTTCTCATAATGAAGAAAAGTGAGAGACAGACTGGAATATGCTTTTCAAAATGGCATCAAAAGGCATGCAAGAAAAAAAATTTTCAGGTAATATAAAATGCAACAAATGCCTTGCACATAAGACTCACTACTGCAAATCATAAACCAAAAAAAAAAATGTATTCATATACTGTATAATATAATATAATGTTGTGTTAGTAATTGACCAATATGGATATTTTGGTGGCTGATGGTAAGTAAAAACTGATATTTGTGATATGCAAATAACACTTGAATAACAATTGTGTGACTAATTTAAAAGAAATTCAAAATATGATACATCAGCCTTGGTGATATATCAGATATATCAGCTTAGTGGAATGTTACGCATCACATTACATGTCAAATCCTATGTCACGTGTCTTTAAGAAACATAGATTACTCCATCCTCACCGGAAGTGATTAAATCTTAGTATGTCAATGTGCAGCTGACGCATGATGTTGATGCACATTAGCTAAAGAGTGGACATACTGCTCATTTTCACAGTTTCCTGTGTCGTATCCTACTCCCAGGGAAGATACATTTTAGACAGAATGAGCTGAAGTATAGTTTCCCTTACATTAGAAAGTGTGAACGAGAAAGGGAGAGAGAGATTTGCAAGAAAGGATGTGTGTTCATTGACATTCACTGCACAGGCCGAAGGAAATGAAGGGGTGTTTGGTTTGCTGAGTGCAAAACTAATCTAATTAACCTTGTTGCATTCCTTTGTCCCACATTGTAACCTGTGCTGCTGCTCATAATGAAGAAAAGTGAGAGACAGACTGGAATATGCTTTTCAAAATGGCATCAAAAGGCATGCAAGAAAAAAAATTTTCAGGTAATATAAAATGCAACAAATGCCTTGCACATAAGACTCACTACTGCAAATCATAAACCAAAAAAAAAATGTATTCATATACTGTATAATATAATATAATGTTGTGTTAGTAATTGACCAATATGGATATTTTGGTGGCTGATGGTAAGTAAAAACTGATATTTGTGATATGCAAATAACACTTGAATAACAATTGTGTGACTAATTTAAAAGAAATACAAAATATGATACATCAGCCTTGGTGATATATCAGATATATCAGCTTAGTGGAATGTTACGCATCACATTACATGTCAAATCCTATGTCACGTGTCTTTACGGGATCTTTACGGTATGTGTGTGAATGCACAGATTCCGAAAAATCACTGCAGTGTGAATTAATCAAATTCAAATGATCCCGCGACAAATCACAAAACACATTATCCGTGTATTTTCCGGGATCTCTGTGTGAAAGAGGCTTCATTGTGATAGTTGTGTGAATTTATGCAAATTTTGTGTGTGTGTGTGTGTGTGTGACATATATCCCACACCCTGTAACCTGCGTTAATAACCAGCACAGATGCTGTAACATGAGTATGCATATGGTGCTGTCGTGACACATGACTTCAAACAAACCCAGACACAAAGCAAGAGGACATTTGCATTTTGTTCTCCATTCATGTGAGAACCACACGGAGAGGAAGACAGAGCAGCGTGGATGAGATAGACAGGGAATGAAGGACGGTTACTACAGAGCGGCGATCTCTGACGTCTGTTACTGCTATAAATGAAGCACAGATTCATTGAGTCAGTGTGTGTTCAGTGTAGCCCCCACACTTTCATAACTTTAATAAGAAGCTGAGTGAGAGGAAGATGATCCGGGGATGACATCTATAGTATGTCCAGTGATTCATGCTGGCATCTTTCCTCAACCCACAGATTGTGTGTCCTGCTGAGTGCTGACCAAGCCTTTATACTTTCAGATAATTCTGCTATTTGATATCCTGTGGTGGGAGAGTGAGGTTCATTACCTGTACAGATGAAAGCCTGACATCGTGTTGTGGTTGCCTTTCACATACATCTCCTGATCAACCCTTTCTCTCTCTCTTCATCTCTCCACAGGCTCGAACACTGTGTCCAAACTTTGGAAGAACAAGCAAATGGAGACCCACAACTGCTGAGCTGTCAGTTCTCCCTCCCTCTTCTCCTCTCCTCCAGTTCCTCCTCTTCCTCTCCTTTTTACATTTTCCCTCTCACTGAGAGCAGGAGATGAGCTCAGAGGATAAAAGTTCCACCATGTCACAGAAGATCTCCTCTCCATCTCACAGCAATAGCAGTTCCTCCTCAAAACATGACAGCAGACAGGTAAGTGTGTATCCATTTGATTTGGCAGACAATTAACTACATTTAGAAGTATCACTTTAGTACACTCAAAAAAAGTACAAAGGCTGTCACTGGGGTGGTACCCTTTCAAAAGATACACCTTTGAACCTTATTTATCCTAAAAGGGGGCATATTGCTACCTTAAAGGTACATATTAGTACCTTTTGTAAGGGTACAGTCCCAGTGACAGCTTCGTACCTTTTTTCTGAAACTGTATATAACTCAACCTGAACCTTTGGAGAGATAACAATTAAACCTCAAATATTGTGGTTTTGTGTGGAAAGGTGTTACTCTTCTAAGCAATCAGAGAATGATTTTCACCTGGTGGATAAAAAAAAAAATCTGAACATGTCTAATTTTTCATGCAAAGCAATCAAAATACCTGACTAGCACTATCAAATAGAAATGCACTGAGGGTGAAGACATAAACTTCCAGCTGTTTAGTATTGGTGTGTGTGAAATAAATTGAAACTCTCAGTTGTGCTAATTTTCCAGGTTTAATATTTGTCCTGATGATACTGTAAATAGGTAGTTGATGTAAAATACTTCTGAGAAATTGACATCCTGTGGTGTAACATGAAATACGTCATCTACAACTGTTTTATAGTATTTTCATGCCCTTTTTTTATAAAAAAGGAATGAAAGCCTACACACAATGTTCTTCAAGAAAAAATCTTCTAGAAAAAATCTTCAAAAGTATTTATTCAGAGGCCATAAAATACAATGCTCAGTGCATACCAGAAAAATGCACAGTTCAAAGACATAACGGTTTTTTTATATCACATTACCAGTTCACTCAGGAAACTACATGACACAGGTTGATTTTTCCTTGGCATGTAATCTGCTAGCAATCACACTGTTTACTACATGCCACAAGCTGATTGGCATCAGCTGTAACTACAGCCATTGAGCTTACTTTGTCAACATTTAAATAGTCTGGTTCAGAGCTTGAAGAGAGTTAAGCCAGTCCAGCAGCATGCTATCAGAGTACCTCTGATAACCTCCACCTCCCCCAGCACCGCCTGTCTAAATCAGCTACAGACCATTTTATATATCTATATTTGTGCAGCAGCTGCATGTCTGTTTATGTCTATGTGTATGTCTGCCTACTTGCTCTGCTCTTGCAGTGATAACAGCAGCAGCAGCAATAACAGCAGCAGGAAAGGAGACTAGATCTAGTCTGCCAAGACCAAATTAATTAATATACTTAAACTACTCCAAAGGTTGTCTTGACTGAAATATACTTTTTTAATACTCATATAATTATTAATCTTAAAATCCTGATGTTGATCAAATAAGAATTCCATTGGTACACGCTTCTACTTAACATTAGCTTAAGTTTAAATGTAGTGACATGAGACAGCTGTGTTTAAGAACTGAAGTTCTGTTTATAGGTCTTAGGATGACAAGCTTGCCTTAACTTCTCTTGATACTTTGCTTTATACAATAAGGACCTTTAGAGTATAAATATTTATAGTGCTTAGGTTTTTTTAAGTTGCTTTTATGAAAAGCTGTCTGACAGTACAGATAAAGCAATGAAGCAGAAAGCAGTGGACTAGACAAAATGTTTCTGGACTTTACCCAAAAATTTCTCAGCTACTCCTTTCTACTTTATCTTCATCCCATTACCCGCTGTGCTGAAACACAGTATTAATCTCTCTGTTCTCAGTCAGATGGCTGTGGGAAATATGAATATAACCGATCTATGAAATGAGCCTTGAGCGCCAGATGAATAAAAACTTACCAGCCCCTTGTTTTTTTTTTTATTGCAATTCTGAAACACTTCCTGAGGCTTTTATGTGAGGGAATTAGTGGCAAACTAATCATGTTATGTGGAAATGAAGGATAAATACAGCAGGGTTCAAAAGTCTGCTCTCAGACCTTTGGATAAAGTTACATGTCTTCAGTCACTGTTCACATAGGTTCGTTCCTATTATGAATAGACTTAACATATCTGTGTGCATATGTACACCTGCACGTGTGTGCATTCATATGCTGTGAGCTCCGGAGGGCGAATGGGTGTCCTTCTCCACAGATGAACACGCTGACCTGATTATGAGGCTGTAATCTCTAATCTCATCATTTGGTAGCATTATAAAGCTCATTACTCCTTTTAAGCGGAGAGATGTTTCACTGTTCGGGTGGCAGACATTACTCTTAATACCAACATCATTTATGTGTAGAGTTTAAACTACTGCAAAGAGGGCTGAAATCCCACCAGGTGATCTGGTGTCCAATTCCTCAGAGGAATGTCCTCATTAACAGAACTGTCTATCAAATAAATTTAATACTTTCTGAGAGTGCTGGTCCTGTATAGTTTACTTTATAGTTTATATACTGTATATAGTGCTCCTGTATAGTTTATATACTAAACTGTACTTTGTGTCTCTACATGGGTGGCAAGAGGCAGTTTTCAATCGGTCCCTTGTGGAAATATGGTATTAATATAATGTAATATATTATATTATTTGTTACGCTACAGGCAACAGAACTAAACAAGGCAGGAGAACAGGAACAGAGAGAAACACAACCAAAAGTCCATAACTGTAACAGTAGCTCCCCCTCCCAAAAGGTGCAACCTCATGCCATAAAGAGACCATCTGAGGAGGAAGGGGGCAACTCTGGGGGAAGATGCAGAGTGTGCCACGGGTAAGAATGCTGAGGAGATGATGGATGGAGAATCCAGGGTGGAGATGATGGAGGGAGGAGCCAGGAGCAGGAGGAGCCAGATGTAGACCCAGAGACCAGGCAGAAAGGAGGCCCACGGCGGAGTTGACGGAAGGAGGAACCATGGTAGAGGTAAGGGGGCCAACTGTCGGAGACGATGCTGATGGAGGAGGAGCCCAGGGTGGAGACAGAGACCCGTAGAGCCAGGGTCACACTGCATCTGGAGGGCCAAGGCAGAGTCAACGGCTATTGCGAATGAGGCAGAGGCCAGGATCTGGAAGACTGTGGCGGAGCCGGAGTGACTGAGGACCAAGGAGGAACCAGAGGGAAGGAGGAGCCAGACAAAGCCAGAAGGATGGAGGGACAAGGCGAAGCCAGAGGAGTGAAATCCTATAGCGAAGGAGGGTCAATGACTGACCGAGGTGGAGCCAGAGGTACGTGGGAGCCTTGTGGAGCCAGTGGGATGACGGGCCACGGTGGAGACGAGGAATCCAGGACTCAGAGGCCAGAGGCGGAGACAGAGGATCATCATGCCAAGACAGAGCTGGAGACTGGAAGCCCCGAGGTGAGACAAAGCTCCAGGATGGCACTGACTGAAGGTGAGCTGAGGGGCTGGCAGGAACCAGCTGAGACAGGGCTGAAGAACTGGATGACATATGGAGGGGAGGCTGGGAGGGAGCTCAGGAGATTCAGGGCTGGACAGAACCAGCGGGATGATAGATGATTCAGGGCAATACAGGAATTTATCCGCTTCAAAAATATTCAAAATATTTCCAGTGGCCAGCAGCAGCTCACCCTCAGCGGCGGGAGTGTGAACGGGACTTCACTCCATGCCCTCGTACTCCACAATTACTCCCACGGCGATACATAATGTTGCCTGCTCGTGCACCTTTTCAGACACATTGGTGGGCTCTGGCAAATGCTCCGTGCAGCGGGGTGATGGCAGGCTGGTCTCTTGATTCGGGAGTGGGGCTCCATGGGGCCAATGGTAAAAGATGATTCACAGTTCACCAGCACCCACTCCATAAACAGGGCAAAGCTCCCCGAGGACCTTCCCCGGGCAGCTTGGCCTTAGTCGAGGTGTTCAGTCAGACATAATAGAAAGTACGGCAGCTGTCCGGATAATGAGTCTGGTATGCCAGGTCTAAAAATGTCTTTGTGTGTTCCTCAATGGAGCGATCCTCTTGCTCAGAGCAAAAGAGCTTGACAGCGGGGATATCCATCTCAGGAGGAGGGAGAAAACAAAAAACCTAAAAATATATTTATATATCGCCGCAGTATATTCACTATGTGAAGCCAGTTATTATATGGCCGGTTATAACATCCAAGTGAAAGATAAAACATCAACATATAAAAGATAAAATCCTTTGGAAAAAGGATCACCCCCCTCCTAAAAATGACTTGTAAACTCAATCAGGTGTAGCTAATAACCTTCTCAATGGCACACAAAGCCATTTGACTTTCAACTGTAATCAACTGTGGTCATTTTGATTAGCTCAGCATGAAAAGAGCTTTCCTGGAGCGTTTCCATCTTTGGTAGTGCAACTGAAGCAAACAATCAACTCTGGGTGGCAAGGCACTGTCAAAAGATCTCTGGGATGTTGTGGACAGGCTCAAGTCAGGAGATGGATACAAATTTTTTTTTAAAAGGCTTTATCAATGCCTAGAAGCACAGTGAAGTCTATTATTAAGAAGTGGAAGGTATTTGGTACAACACAGACCCTCCCTGGATCAGAACGTCACTCCAAACTGGATGAAAGAGCCAGGAGGAAACTCTGCCCTACAAAGACAAAAGACCTTAACTCGCTAGAGTGTGAAACTGAGAAAAATGACTTCAAAGTTTTTTACTTGTCCAGCCAAATTAATTATAGGTAGCACACTGGAAATTTAACAATTAGATGTTTTAGTAATGAAAATTATCTAAATTAAAAAATTGTGAGCTCAAACTTGATTTTTGAGTTAATGTATATTTTGAATATTTTGAAGTTAATGTAGTTAACTTGAAGTTAAGCTATTTCGAAGTTAATGTACTCTGCCTTTGCATTGTCTGCAAAACGTTAGAAGTCACACCAAGGCAAAAGGCAGTAACTTCCACATTATCAATATTTGGTTGCTGTTCACCATTTACAAAATCGTTATAGTAACACCTGTATAAAATCTAGTGATCATGGGCTGTCTCATATAGGCTATTGCATATATTAATGTGACTGTATTAATTGTTTGGGGGGTTTTTGACCGTAATAAGCAGACTAAAAGTTAAACATGTGAGTGGATACCGTGGATACCAATTTATTTGCTTTGCACATTAACGTAAA